ACCGAAATTCCGTCGCAACGTTCCGACGGAATTTTCCGTCGGAGCTGAAGTGGATTCCGACGGAATATTCCGTCGGAAGGGGAATATTCCGACAGAAAATTCCGATGGATTTTAGTTTCGTCGGAACATTTTATTCCGACGAAATATTCCGTTGAAAAGCCTATATATTCCGACGGAATATAAATCCGTCGGAATTTTCCGACGGATTTCCTACGGAAAAAAAATTCGTCGGAATATATGAGATTTCCGACGGAAATTTGTGTCCGTCGGAAACAGTCCGTCGGAAAAAGGCCTGTTTCTAGTAATGATGTACACATAATTCTACGTAATGGTTTTTTGAGATCGAGTGCAATAATTTTTATTTTTTTGGAACTTTATTTGATTGCTTATTAGTTCTATCATTTAGTGCCTATAAGCATGTAAAGAGAATATGAGCTGAACTCAACAAATATAATTTGATTTTTATATATTTCTCAAAACTCACATGTATTGTGACATGCTATTATTTATATTAATTGTTCCGTCATTCACCTGAAGGAAAGGAAATGAACAAAGCATTGAAGAAGGATTATTTCGTTCTGGTGACAACACGGAAACAAAATAATAACCAAGAATTGGACAGCTTTGGTTGATTGTTGGTTTCATCTAAAGCCCAGGTTTGTACCCAATGTGATAACGATTGTAGTTGGTGGAATGACTGGAACCTTCAATGCTTCGATGCCAATTCACGCTAACATTTTTTTTATTTTTTTTTTTTTGAATTTAGAAAATATGGGGAAAAGCTGCCTGATCGTCGCAAGGTCATAAGGTCTTTTCAACATGAGCGGTGCTACAAGCATTACTTATTGGAGAGTTAATCTTGTTTGATTTCCTTTCTTCATTTTATGTGGGCCTAAAAATGGATAAATGATTTATTCACATAATGAAAATTTAATTAAGTACATTAACAGTAGAATGCCTATAACAATCCACTTAATAAAGCATTAATAAACAAATCAATAAAGAAGAGATCAGATATCCATTTATTGTGTAATACTTCTTAATATTAAAGTTAAAAAATAAAAAAAAGCAAAAGAAATGGTTCGAAGTGTTGTAGCATGCCATTTTTTTTTCCACTTTTCTTCTTTTGCATTACTGGATAACAGGTAATGAGAAAATTAAAGAGGAAAATACTTTGTTTTCCTTGTTAAACCCTAGAGGTTTTTATTTTTTAGTTTTCTATTTTTCATTATTTTAATACATCTGTAAGTAAGAAAACACATAAGTCCCAAGCTAAGGACTTCCTATATTTTGATTTCTTATCTTTTATTTGATTCATCATTAACACATAGTTTTGCATGTTTTGCTTTAATAATTTTTTTCCTAAATTAATAGTTTAAGGAAACTGTTTGATGTAATTAAATTTTAGCATGGTCATATATATTATTTGATTACATTTTGATGAGTTAGCTGAATTGTTTTTTTCCGTAATTGCAGAAAATCAAAAAGGATTTATGTAGTATTTCAGGTTTTTTTTTCAAAAGCATATGCCGAAAAAGGTGGAAGCTTTAAAGAGGGTATGATATCTCTACAATTTATAATATCTATACCAATTAATTAATTTAAGCAATAGTATATTAATTGTTTGTTAACGATCTTTTTAACATTGTAAAACAGGAGGATGCAATCACCAAGGTGCAAGAGTACGTGCGTTGCTAGGTTAGCTTCTCTTCTTTCTAAGTCTAAGGTTGACATTAAAACTGAAGTTTTCAATAAGTTTATGTATCTTGGTGAAATTCCTTATCATCCTCTTAATTATGGCTTTGGACTGAAGCAATTTGACATCTTTGGAGTAGAAGAGCACTGAAGGATAGAAGAGTTGAGCTACGTCAATGATAGTGTTATGAAAGTGGAGAGTTCAAAAGTTGCATTTTCAACTGTAAATAAGCAAAATGAAGAACTTACAGAGTAAAACCAAATATTTGACACAAAGGTTAATGAATCCTCCCAAGCATTTAGATGGTAAGTTCCTAGTTGACAAATTTCAAAGGAAATTCACAACGAGATGAAATGCTTCATCAGAATTTCTAGATTGTGCATTACAAGTGATTATTCTCAAGTTGGACTAAATCATTGTTTTGTTATCTGCTTCTTGTCTTCATTGTAGGTGAATCTAAGAATAATTATTTACGTATTGCACTATCTAGAATTTCTGCTGGTGAATCCATGCGTATTTCATTCATAATTTGTGTCAACAGAGAATCAACCATCTTATATGCTTGTGGCTTCATCAAACTCTGCCAAATATTTGTTTTGTCTATGCAAGATGTTCATTTTGTATCTTTACAGCTAATACTACAACTTTCAAGATCTCTACTTTGATATGTGTTTTTACTTACCAATATAAGATTAAGAAATATTAGGCATATAAATGAACATCTCTTCTTTATTAATGTTTTGTATAATTGAGGTGTTATAGGCATTCAAGTGTTAATGTATTTACTTTAAATATTATTATTTAATAATCATGTATGTAGTATTTCATCATTTATTTTTAGGCCCATCTTAAATGAAAGATATGATATCATGCAAGATGCGATTAACAAAGCTGTTAGCATCACTTGTTTTTTTTGCAGATGATAGTTTATTCTTTGCTAGAGCAAACTGAGAGGAGTGTGCAAAGATAGTTGATATTCTCAACTTGTATGAAGCAGCTTATTAACTATGAAAAATCGAAAGTCTCGTTTAGCAATTGAGTCAATTTGTCAAAGCAATCTGATCAAGATTTTGAACATGAGAAGAGTTGAGGAGCATTTGAAGTATATATGGATTCCTACTATTGTTGAAGATCTAAGAATCAAATATTTGCCGCCCTCAAGGATAAAATTTGGGATAAACTCCAAAGATGGAAGGAAAAGTTACTCTCTAGAGCCCGGAAAGAAGTTTTGATCAATTCGGTGATTCAAGCAATACCCACGTATTTAATGGGGGTTTACGAGATTCCAATTGGCCTGGAGTTCTTGATGATATTCGGTCCCTTGTGGCAAAATTTTGGTGGGGAAATTCCTCAACTCAAGCCAAGGTCCACTTGTGCAACTGGGAGTCCTAATGTACTCCTAATTTTTTAGGGGGACTCGGGTTTAGAGATATGAAAGTTTTTAATAACAGGTGCAACTGGGAGTCCTTATGTACTCCTAAATTTTTAGGGGGACTCGGGTTTAGAGACATGGAAATTTTTAATATTGTTATATTAGGAAAGCAGGCCTGGAGGTTTGTACAATCCCCTAATTCCCTCATTGCGTGAGTTTCCAAAGGGAACTATTACCCTCACTCTTCATTCCTCGATTCATCTTTGGGCTTGAATGGAAGCTATTCATGGAGGAGTATTTGGAGTCCTAAGGCATTGGTAAAGGAAGGATTAATATGGAGGGTCGAGAATGGTGCTAAAATTAACATTTGGGACGAGACATGGGTTGCGGATCACCAAGGGAAATTCATAACCCTACCCCAAAAACTGAGGCAGTATCTATGGTTAGTGATCTTATAAGGTCGGGCTATAATGAATGGAATGAAGAGCTACTCTCTGATTTTTTCAATGAACGTGACCAGAAGTGTATTCACTCCATACCCATCAGCTTGCGTGCTGCGGAGGATATTTTAACCTGGGCATTTACCAATGATAGGAGGTACTTGGTGAAGACGGGTTACATTCTTGGCAAATCACTGAACCTAGAGACTTTCCACCAAGATTGGGTGGACATTTGGAAGATGGACACCACCCTAAAGGTGCACCACATCTGTGGCGTACTTGTACTGGTACACTGCCAATATGGGTGCTTCTTTGAAGAAGCCAGTTGACAGAGGTGGATCTCTACCCCTGGTGTTTTGAACAGGAGACATTAGAGCACGCACTTTTTAATAGTCATGTGGGTGCGGGACTTAGGGGTAGAGAGTGGTTGTGATGTGATGCTCAAGGATTACAAGACTGACCATTTTCCGGACTGGCTGGTGACATGGGGTAAGCACGAATTGAAGCTGAGACAGATGTGTGCTGCATTATTGTGGCACATTTGGCATAGACGCAATGAAAAAGTGTTTAACAAGAAATTCCTCATCTTCTCTTGCTAGAAAGGGTTAACAGGTTAGTGCTTGATTATAAGAGCTATGCCAAAAAATTTATTGGGGGGTGGTGGTGGGGGGAGTGTGGCCTGCAATGCAGGAGCTCCTAAACTTGGAAAGCTCCCCAATGAGTGTCCATCAAAATCAAGTGCGATGCGGCTATTCTCGATCGGGGTTGGGTGGGCCTTGGTGTACTTGCAATAAATGGAAGAGGTTAAATAATATTTGCTGGTACTAGGCGAATAAGAGGGCACTGGTCACCAGCTATTGTGGAATGCAGGGCCGTTTATTTTGGTGAAAAGCTGGGCAGACATTTTGGGTTTAAGGAGGTTGTGATCGATTTAGATTAGAAGATGATTGTTGACCGTCTCAACAAAGCAATGACCTTCCTTATGGATTTGGATAATATTCTAGATGATGCCTAAGATTGTTAAAACAAAGACAGTTTTGGAGGTTTTAATTCTGTGTGTATTAGATTAACTGGTTTACAGCAACATTTATATGGAAGTTTTAGTACAATAAATTAACAACTACCAGGGTAATAAATTACCAGCTACCAAGGAATACCGCCTAATTAATTTACAGTCATAATATTTTCTAACACTCCCCCTCAAGTTGGGTCGTAGGATTCCGACACCCAACTTGGACAAAGCTTCCTCAAATGCTTGCGTCCTAACCGCCTTGGTTAGAATATCTGCTAACTGGTCTTCTGATCTCACAAAGGGAAGGCTTATTACTTTTGCTTCCAAATTATCCTTGATGAAGTGGCTATCGATTTCAACATGCTTTGTTCGATCATGCTGGACTGGGTTTTTAGAAATGCGGATTGCTGCCTTATTATCACAGTAGAGCTTACAACTCTTCCTGGGTGCATACCCAAGTTCAGTTAGCAACTTTCAGATCTAAAGAACTTCAGTGATCCCTTTTGCTACTCCTTGAAATTCTGCTTCTGCACTAGACATTGCAACTACTTTTTGCCTCTTACTTTTCCATGTGACCAGATTTCCCCCAACTAGAGTGAAATATCCAGATGTAGACCTTCTGCTATCTCGATCTCCTCCCCAGTCTGCATCAGTAAAGGCATGAAGGTCTAGATGACCATGGGTTCCATAAATGACCCCTTTCCCGGGTGTTCCTTTTAAATACCTCAAGATTCGGTATACTGCTTCAAGATGATGTTTTTGAGGTTTGTGCATAATTCTGCTAACAACTCCTACTGCGTAAGCTAGATCTGGCCGAGTATGAGACAAATATATCAGTTTTCCAACAAGTCTCTGGTACCGCGTCTGATTTACTGATTCAGCTCCCTCAATAATTTGAAGCCCATGTTTCATGATCATAGGAGTTTCAGCTGGTTTTCAATTTATCATACCCGTCTTTGTCAAGAAATCAAGGATATACTTCCTTTGAGAAATAAAGATACCCCTTTTTGATCTGAGTACCTCTATTCCTAGGAAATATTTCAGGTTCCCAAGATCTTTCATTTCAAACTCCTAGAACAACCTTTTCTTCAGTTGAGCTATTTCTTCCTTATCTCACCCGTGATGATCATATCATCAACATAAATAATCAGACATGTGGTCAGTTCCCCTCTTTTCTTGAAGAACAAGGTATGGTCTGAGTTGCTTTGTTTGTAGCCAAATTTCCTCATTGCAGTAGTAAATCGCCTAAACCATGCTCTAGGAGATTGTTTCAGACCATATAGAGCCTTTCGCAACCTGCAACCCTCTCCTGCTAAAAAATCCTAAGAGAAACCTGGTGGTGCTTCCATGTAAACCTCTTCAGCTAGATCCCCATGTAGAAAAAGCGTTTTTAACATCAAATTGATGTAGAGGCCAATCCTTGTTTGCAGCAATTGAGAATAATACCCTGATGGTGTTGAAATTTGCAACTGGAGAGAAAGTTTCTGCATAATCAATCCCATATGTCTGAGTATATCCTTTTGCCACCAGTCTTGCTTTGTATCTTTCAATACTGTCACTTGCTTTGTATTTTATGGTGAACACCCGTCTACATCCTACTAGTTTCTTTTTCTTCGGTAGAATACACTTTTCCCAAGTTTTGTTTTGGATAAGTGCATCGATTTCATCTTTCATTGCTTTCTTCCAGTGTGTGCTTTTGAGAGCTTCCTCAGCTGTAGTGGGAATATCTTCAGAGTAGATAGCTGCATTATAAGCCTTGGCTGCCTTGGATAGATTTCCTTCACTCGGCTGGTTGACTGGGTATCTTGACCTTCGGGCCTCAAAGTCTGGATCATATCGCCTTGGAGGAATACCTCTCGTACTCTTGGAGGGTAGCTTGTATTTCCCTTTTTCAGGGACTAACTCTGTAACAGGAGCAACAGGCTCAGGAACAGGTCCAGGTTCGGGAACTGCTTCATCTTCCTCTCTTACAATTTCAGGGGAAATACGAGGTTCTGTGAATTCTCCTTCATCAGAAGGATTAGTGATTTCAGGTTGACATGATTTAGGGGAACATACCTCATTACTTGGTGGATTCTCAGTCAAGTCGATAAAGGGCAGTATACTTGGTTGATTGGACCATACTATGTTATCAGTTGTCTCCGTGGCCTTGTCTACTTGTTCTGTTTGATCAGGATCATTCACCTCTGGATAAGTTAACTAACTTAGATCCTCACCCGAACTCTCCCCCTGAGATCTAAGGTGGTGATAATAGTACTCTGTTTCAACAAAGTCAAAGTTCATAGTAGTGTAGAAGTGTTTTGTGACAGGATCAAAGCATCGGTACCCCTTTTGGCGTACCCCATATCCCACAAACACACATTTCACAGCTCGGGGGGCTAATTTACTCCTACTGTGTTTAGGAAGGTGGACATAGACAACACAACCAAAGACTCGGGGAGGTAAAGATTGAGCAGCAGGGACACTTGTATGGGTTTTTAGGGTGGATAAAGGTGTGTCAAAATTAAGGCTTTTGGTGGGAAGGCGATTTGTGAGGTAATTAGCTGTGGCTATGGCTTCGGGCCAATAGTTGGTAGGAACCCGGGATTCAAACATCATGGCTCTAGTCATTTCAAGAAGGATTCTGTTTTTTCTTTCAGCAACACCATTTTGTTGTGGTGTATCTGGGCAAGTGGTTTGATGGATCAGGCCTTTGTCAGTGGTAAAGGATTCCAGGTCAAGGTTCACATATTCCCCCCCCCCCCATTATCAGACCTCAAGTTTTGGATTTGTGTTTGAAATTGTGTCTGGGCCATTTTATAGAATGAAATAAAGGTGTCACGAACATCGGATTTATTTTTCAAAAAATACACCCAACTCATTCTAGTGCAGTCATCAATGAAAGTAACATAGTACAAGAATTTATGATCAGTAAATTCAGGAGCTGGCCCCCAAACATCAGAATGAATAAGAACAAACGGTTTTTCAATTCGAGTATTACTCCTAGGGTATATATGTTTGTGACTCTTAGCTAAAATAAATGCTTCACAATTAAAGACAAGGTTCGTTATAGCAAGAGAAGGAAAGAGTTTCTTTAAATACCCCAAAGAAGGATGACCTAATCGTCGGTGCCATGTCCAGAGCTGATGTTCAACCGATCCATGAGCAAGTGTTGCGCAGCCGTGTTGAGACATCCGATCAACATAGTATAACCCATCTTTCTTAGTACCATGCCCAATGATTTTCCCTGTCTGAGAATCCTGAACAATACACCCCATAGAATCCATTAGTACCGTACAATTTAATTCCTTTGTCAATTGACTAATGGAGAGTAACTTATGGGATAATTGAGGAATAAAGAGGCAATCAGATAATTTGATTGAACCTGAACCTTCTATTTTGACCCTTTCCCCACTGGCTGTTTGGATGTAGTTTTTTGTGGCTTATTTAATTCTTCAAAATCGGAGATATCAAAGGTCATTGTATCAGTTGCCCCACAATCAAATATCCATTTTTTATTTTTATCACAATTGCCTATAAGTCCCATGGACGGATTTTTACTACTAGTTTTGAAATTAGTGGGTTGATTTGTGTGATACATGGTGGGCTGATTTGGGACATCCAAGAATGTGGGCTTATGGGCATTTAAAGGAGGCATGGTATTTAAGGAGGAAGTTAAGGTTTTAGCCATACCTTTCTTCTAAAGATCAGAAATGTAAAAACCTGAAGTGTAAGAAGTAGCCGCTGCTTTCCCCTCTTCTCCATTTCTGACCTCCGGTGCTTCACCGGTTGATGCTCCCCTTTCCTTTTTGTCCTCGCCTTTTAGTGTTTCATCGGCGGTAAAAAGAATAGTGGTTGAAGTGACGGTCGTTGCTCCCTTTTCATCTCTGTCGACGGCCGCTGCTCCCCTTTCTTCTCTGTTTCCGTCGTCTGGTGTCTCACCGGCGACGGTTAGCTTTGTTATCGGTGGTTTTTTGGGTTGTCCTGTTTTTGTGACACCTAGTGAGTCATCTGAAGAGGGTTTCGTAGATTTTATGGTACTTTGGTTTGGTTGATTTATGGTCTCAATGATGATTCCATTGGTGTTTAACTGTGACAGTTGCAATGAATTTTCCATTGAGACTGTTTTTGAGGAAAAAATGGGTTGTTTTTTTTTCCTTTTTTTGGTTTATGCGGTAAATGATGACGCCAAGAGGTTTTTTCCGATCGCCGGAAGCGAACCTGGCTCTGATACCATGTTAAAACAAAGACAGTTTTGGAGGTTTTAATTCTGTGTGTATTAAATTAACCGGTTTACAGCAACATTTATATGGAAGTTTTAGTACAATAAATTAACAACTACCAGGGTAATAAATTACCAGCTACCAAGGAATACCGCCTAATTAATTTACAGTCATAATATTTTCTAACAAAGATTTTTGCTCTCAATTAAATTCTTTATCTTGGTTACATGTTAGGAGGGAGGGTAACTTTCTTGCCCACCATCTAGCTAGATTAGTGTCATTTAGAGTAGAATAAATTTGGGTTATTCATTGTCCTAGTGCGATTTCCCTACATGTTCTCTCAAATTATTTATCTATGATATAAATTGGCTCTACTATTTCTGTAAAAATAAAAAAATGTTCTTAGCATCGCTCACCCGCTCTTGTGGGCATAATAAACCTTGCTAGGTATACAAACTCTATAATGACACAAAAGAAAACACCTACACCTAAAACTGCCTCGCCCTCAGCACTCCACCAAACGAACAAACCCACAACGGGCATCCAAACAAAGTGTCAACTTCATACTTGAGCCAACAATCTTATAAGGGATAAATCCACAATAACAAAACAAATAAGCAATCTAACCATAGAAATTGGCTTCAGAACCCTAAACTATAATTTGGGTGCATCCAGCACCCTAAACTTGGACTAGTAATTAGCACACCACCAACTATTGATTGGGTGTAACATAGATTGTTCACTTCATTTGACCCTATCAAAAAGTAGCATTATTTTATTCTAGCAATTTTTGGTCACTTAATCGAAATAATCCTCTTATCTATGCTTTTATAGAGAGAAAAAAAGCTTTTAGAGAGAGAAGCTACTGAAAATATATAGTGTTCACTTTAATTGGCTATATTAGAGAGTAACATAATTTTATTCTCACATTTGGTCATTGAATCGAAATAATCCTCTTATCAATGCATTTCTATAATTCCTGCAACAAACTTTAAAAGCGCATTGTTCATTTTCTCTCCTTCTGAATAATAACAACCCATGTGCCATAAAAAAAAATACAAAACAAGTTACATCACAATTAATCTATATCTGTAGCATATAGAACTGATATCATTTCACAATGCATGCGAGTAGACCTGTCCATTCGGGTTCACAGGTCGGGGTTGGATTAGATTTTTGGTCATTTAGTTCAAGTGGTTTGGATTGTTTCGGTCGTCATTACTAATAATAATAAATAATCTTATATAAGGTGAACTTACGTTAATTTTATTGTAAAACGGTCAATTTGAAGGTAATTTAATAAGGGATACATGCTATGAAAGCTAATATAATTAATCGAATATATTATAAGTATAAAATTTATGTTAGGAAAATGGTAACTTTTGTGTATATAAGGGCAACTTTAAATACTTTTAGCATAATTCTAACCCGTCTTACAACAAATAAATGATAGTCCACCTTAAGCAAAACTTGGGTCTAATCGGGTCAATTTCGGGTCATTTGGGTCAAGTCAGGTTCTCTCAATAATTCGGCTTTGGAATCGGGTCGGGTCAGAACGTATCTACATATGAGTATAGAGAAATTGAAATAAATCTATATTTGATAAGCTCGACTCATATTTTCTTTATTACATGCATTTAGATAGTAACTTTTAGAACTAATAATAAGCAATCGATATAAGTTTTTTAAAAACAAAAAACATTCGAAATA